ACAACCCCGTCGACAAACTTTTCGGCGAACTTTCCGGATAAAAAGGTTTTAGGTCATCTTAAAAAAATATCGTGCAAAGAAATGTTGCAGAAAAAAATTCCTCGCAAGCAATTTGGGGATGAAAAAAAATTCGTGCACAGAAAAAATCCCCCCCTCCCCTCAAATATGTAATGGTCCGTGCCTTAAGATATCTTATGTTGTCACTCCAGGTTACATAGGTGCAAGATATGATAATGAAGGCAGAAATATGGACATTATTTTGAATTAACAATTGTTAACGATGACCTTCAAAATGCGTATGATCGCCTGTATACAGCCGTATATCTCGTGGCAAAGGAACCACAATGGATTCCTGATAATTGGTTAGCTTGATTAGGAGAGTTCGATTGAAATCAGAAGCAACAATCTTAATATTTTCTGTATATTTTCCAAGTGATTGCAACCGTGAAAGACTGGCACAGCACAATGCCTAAAATAACGGTCGGACTTTGGACATTTTCCGAACATTGCCAATTACAGTTTTTCTGATCAAATGCTGAATTGGTCGGACATTTTATCCGGACGAAAATAGTAATCACCTTCCTTGAAAGAATGGGTTAACCACAAACATGCTCCCGGCAATGAATATAATTGTAAAATAAAATTTAAAGTTTATTTATTTATTTATCGACGTGACTTACCCAAGGGGCATTTAGGGACGCCGGGAGTCAAAATGAAATCGATAAAATTGCGACGAGATTTGAAAGTTTCGGATCAAGACATCAACTTTCATTTTGGACAGACATTCTTTATTAATTAAACACGCGTTATTTCGGGCTCTGCAGCATAGTCCAAAACAGATCTGTATTTGTATATTGAATTTATTTGCTTTATTGGCATGACCTTTCGTACAGGCAGTTGCTAAATCTTTACATATGTGCTATATTAAAAACTATGTGCTATTTACAAGAAAATAAGTGAGAAAAGTATATCAAACTAAATGGAATAGTGTCAAAATAGACTTAATTAAGCTTACTTCACATGATGAACGTGCGTTTTAGTCAATTGAACAGGCGCAACGAATTTTAGGCAACTTTACTAAATTTTTAGTGAAGAAAGCCAAGCAAATGCTGATTTCGAAAATTTTCATTTGATGAGTGTTAAACCTGTCCAGTATAGGCTGACTAAAGAAATATAAAGGTATCCCATAAAAAATCAAAATCTGTTTATAGTTTACCTCAACGTTTGTCTACATATCTCGATTTGAATCTTCATAGGTAGGGTTAAAAATACGTGTGCGGAAAATTTCTCTTCTTCAATAGTTTTTCTGATATGTCGTTTTCTTTGACAACTTCGTGAATTATCAGTGACAAATCCAGGAATCAGTGAATATCAGAAAAACCACTATAAAAGAAGAAAAATTTTCCGCACACGTTTTTGTGGCTAGCCCGTTCGCGGGCTAGCCACAATGTAAAGCTAAAACTGTAAGAGTTGTGAAGTTGTGACGGAACTTGTCGACTGCCTTCGGAAACTGTCGTTGATGGCATGAGGCAATGATATTAAAAAGCCAGTTGTCACAGAAAAGGTATCTTACAACTATTAAACGACTTTAATACTGGAAGATGCCTCACTCAGCAAAATTACAGTTGGCAACGCTGGGAGAAATACTCGAATGAATTTTTCACAGCAAACGGTAAGTTAATTTTTGTTATTTCAATCGAGATTTTATTTATGTTTACAATTTGTGAATCTGTCATTTCATATTATATTATTAAAACATTGTCATTGCTATCGTGTTGCTATTCATGTCTGCTCTGGACTCTGCTTCTGGTCAAGGAGATTTTGATCACGCTTCATATAAAGCTTTATATAGTGAGTTTATAATCCTGTTGATAATCAAACGTTCTTGCACAGATCTTGAATTTTAATATACCACATTATGTGGGTAATAGTTGGCATAGCCCATTGGTGGCATATTTTACAACAATACTACAACTGCCCTGTCCACTTGCAGGTATAAAACTTTAACTACACTTAACACAGAAAACAGGCTGGACTATTTTATATTAATATAGTCTAGTAGTTACTAGCGTGGAAGCTCAGTCTGTTTACATACAGTTGAAGGATCTTCTAGATGGAAGTAATTGAGTGAAAATGCATTATTTTACATTTATTAGATCTATTAAACCAGGAGATGCAACTGTAGGTGCAGTTTATTTTTGGATATCTAGATGTAAATGTAAATATGTATTATATATCTGATCTAAGATCAGCAGGGACGTAGAGACAGGGGAGTGTGTGTGTGTGTGTGTGGGGGGGGGGTAAACTCCACAACTGTGAAACTCAGGTAAAGCTCAAGTATATTGTAAATTTTGACATTCTCAGGTAAACTTTGTGTAAAAGTTGTTATTTTTGTAAAATGATGACCATTTGACATCCGACACCTCCCCCCCAACATCAGTCTGTTTACATACACAACATCAGTCTGTTTACACCTCCCCCCCAACATCAGTCTGTTTACATACAGTTGAAGGATCTTCTAGATGGAAGTAATTGAGTGAAAATGCATTATTTTACATTTATTAGATCTATTAAACCAGGAGATGCAACTGTAGGTGCAGTTTATTTTTGGATATCTAGTCCAGATGTAAATATGTATTATATATCTGATCTAAGATCAGCAGGGACGTAGAGACAGGGGAGTGTGTGTGTGTGTGTGTGGGGGGGGGGTAAACTCCACAACTGTGAAACTCAGGTAAAGCTCAAGTATATTGTAAATTTTGACATTCTCAGGTAAACTTTGTGTAAAAGTGGTTATTTTTGTAAAATGATGACCATTTGACATCCGACACCTCCCCCCCAACATCAGTCTGTTTACATACACAACATCAGTCTGTTTACACCTCCCCCCCAACATCAGTCTGTTTACATACAGTTGAAGGATCTTCTAGATGGAAGTAATTGAGTGAAAATGCATTATTTTACATTTATTAGATCTATTAAACCAGGAGATGCAACTGTAGGTGCAGTTTATTTTTGGATATCTAGTCCAGATGTAAATATGTATTATATATCTGATCTAAGATCAGCAGGGACGTAGAGACAGGGGAGTGTGTGTGTGTGTGTGGGGGGGGGGGTAAACTCCACAACTGTGAAACTCAGGTAAAGCTCAAGTATATTGTAAATTTTGACATTCTCAGGTAAACTTTGTGTAAAAGTCGTTATTTTTGTAAAATGATGACCATTTGACATCCGACACCTCCTCCTCCCATCCCTTCTCCCCACCATCACAGATTGTTACACAAACTAGCGAATGTCGGCGCTTCCCCAGCAACAGTACAGTGGTTTAAAAGCTACTTGTCAGATCGCTTTCAGTCCACCCGCATCAACTCCGCCCTATCTGATCCACTACCAATCACTCACGGAGTACCCCAAGGTGCGACGCTTTCACCATTATTATTTTGTATTTACTTGAACGATCTTCCCTCCGTATCTCGTAACTCCAGCCTTGAATCGTACGTTGATGACTCGAAAGTTCTCCTCTCCTTCCCATTACGTCAGATGCAGCAATTGCAAATCTCGAGCAAGACCTACACAGAGTTGCAAGTTGGTGCTGTGAAAACCACCTTTTAATTAACCCGGGGAAAACAAAGTACATGATGATCGGAACAAGGCAGATGATGAGCAAACTACCTACAGACACATCAATTTCATTCTTGGGCAAGTCTCTTAAACCAGTGGACTCTGCTAAAGATTTTGGTGTCACATTAGATAGACACCTAAATTACGACAAACATGTCTCGCTTCTTGTCTCGTCGTGTATGAACAAATTATGTCAGATAAATCGTGCAAAAAATAGTTTCGACACAAAAACTTTATCGGAAGTCATTTCATGCTTGGTCATCAGCAAAATGGTTTATTGTTCTTCGGTGTGGACGAATACGTCTGCCTCCAACGTGAAGAAAGTTCAGTCGATCCAGAACTTTGCTTGCAAAATCGTCACGAAATCCAGGAAGTTTGACCACGTAACTCCACTTCTACGAGAATTGAATTGGCTCCCAGTAGACAAACTACTATATTTTAGAGACGCCAGTTTGACCTATAAATGTGTGAATAACCTAGCACCCGACTACCTTTGTAACAAATTGATAAAAAGGTCATCAATCCACGACCGTAGGACTCGTACACACGACTCTCTTCAAATACCTCTATTTAAGACTGCAGCTGGCCAACGATCATTTACATATAGAGCCGCCCATATTTGGAACAATTTAGACAAGAACTTGAAAGACTGCTCTTCACTTAAAACTTTTAAAGTAGCACTTAAAACATTTGCTTGCAAAAGATAACATTTAGTATAACCAACTAAACTTTGTATATAGTCTTTGATAATTGTTTAAACTTATATTTGTAACCTTAATTATTATTACATGCATGTAACTGTAAATAATTTCTGAAAAACCCTTTTAGGGAGAAATTTATATAAATATCTATCTATCTATCTATCTATCTATCTATCTATCTATCTATCTATCTATCTATCTATCTATCTATCTATCTATCTATCTATCTATCTATCTATCTATCTATCTATCTATCTATCTATCTATCTATCTATCTATCTATCTATCTACCCAAACTTCAGATGCTTTGCTACGTCCCTGAAAATTAGTGCAATCACAATAAAACACTGACCGTTGCAGTTGCGAGAGTATATATGAAGAAAACCTACAGTCATAATATGATGAGGTCGACAAGTTTCAACATTTCTTTTCAGCACTTAATAACAGCAGTGTCAATTGAGTAGCATGTTCATACTTTTATTGCCACAGTAAAATGTGTTGTTTAACCTAATGAGCTGCAATGCGCCCCAGGCCCCCAGTGCACCCTACTTATTTCTTTTACTTGTCTAATGCCAGACGATTTTACCCGTCAATGGGGAAGCTCTGCCGCTTAATGGGTTAAATTTATACCTGCATCATTTACAATGTATCAGTCTTGTGAGCTGCCAGTAAATATTTGGTTCTTAATTTTAAACAATTTGCAGATAAAAGCACAATTCAAAATCATAGTGATGCATGGCATCTACAGTACTTCAAACAACTAAGTGAACACATATTCTGGTCAATTTGCTGATAATATGGTGACTGGTGATAATATTGGATAATATAGGAAGATCAGAATATTTGCACAAGTGTCAGGGCAATACAAGTTAGTGGTGATGACATAATTGATTTGATGAGTTCATTATAAATTCCGATGCTGTTAGATCTTACAATAAATAAAAATGTTTAGAAATCTAGTATTAAATTTATTATGTTAATGAAGAACTTTGAATTTAAAGGTTTTATGAAATCTGCGATGCTAGCAATTCAAGAAAGCTAATAACTTGTAAACCAGACAACAGAATATATCTGTAACAAGAAACCGATGTAATGAAATCTTAGTGAATTACATATTGGTGCAGTTTTGAAAAACAATAAAATTGACATTATTAGTTGCTGCATGTATATACTTATTATTGAAGCAAAACCGAATGTTGCTTTTAAATCATGCGATTGTAGCCATTTGTTGGCATTGTAAGAAAGATGCTGCATCTGTTTTATTTTGACCATTCTTCTATAATTGTAATGATTAATTTTGTATCAAAATGAATGTTTGTGATGAATGTTCA